GACGTTTTTGTTTTTCACGATGGTTTTTCTGCCATGTGCATGACACTGGCTTCTTCGAGACTTCACAGAAATGAAAAATAAAATTCATTGCTCATGAAAAGTTTGCAATAGAGAGACCTGGCCACTCGGTCCCTCTGGGCTCTAGGGACGCCTTCCGAGAAACCCATCTTAACGCCGTCTTCATGATCTACTTCTCTGAGTCCAACCTAATGCCAAAAATCCACTCGACAACGCAAAAATGAGCCAATTCAGGGAAAAAAAATAAGTATGATAATAACACACAGCTTCTTTAAAAAAATGAGAATCCACCCTAATTTGGTTTTTGTTAAAACACAAACTTTCGAGATGAAACGCCTTTGGTCTCKTATCTTGCCAGTCTGTTGCTACTTGAAAAATTATAAACATTTTTTTTTCTGCAATGAATTAAGCAACCTAATTAGAAAACGAGGTGCAGGCAGCTTAGGTGGAATTGGGGGAATCCCCTTTTTTATCGGTAATTGCACTCCACAAACATCTGATTAGCAGGGGCTCTTGTGTCTAGGAACTGGTCGACGTGCTTTAGGGGGACGGACTCATTAAGCCACCAAATCCAACTCTGCTTACACTCAGGGAAACTCGGGCTTTGGAGAAGCAGCTGGATAACTTAAATTGCAACCCCCCATCCCAACTCCCAACAGTAGGCTGCACCCAAAGGTCCCAGGAATCWGGTCTAGAGGGAAGACTTTGGCTGCCCACAACGTTTTGCTAAGATCATTTGTGAAGTGGACATTCAGTTGACCTTCACGAGCTTCAAGCAAAGAGCTAATTTTAAGTGCCCGAGGTTAATAAGGTGTAAATGCTTATTATTGTTATTAACAATTATTTTTGTGGTATCAGGGATTGAACCCAGGGGTGCCTAACCACTGAGCCACACCCCCATCCCTTCTTTATCTTTTTATCAACAGGATTTGGGTAAGTTTCTGAGGCTGGCCTCGACCTTGCCGTCCTCCTTCCTCAGCCTCCCGAGTGGCTGAGATTACCCGTAGGCACCACCTCGTCCTGATGTTAAGCTCAGCTAATGGACACACGTTAATTCCACCCGCAACCACCTTCTCCTTCTGCTGCTTAAAATCATTACTGAAATCACAGTATTCCAAGGCCAGGGGCCATCGAAGGTGACCTTCACAGGGTTCAGGACATCTGCACACCCTCCCAGGACTAGTGTTTTGCTGGTATTGTTCAGAATTAGGGGTTTCTGAGTCTAATGTAAGCTCCACACACTCGGCGTAGAATAGGTGCTAGGAAATATCTTGGGTGGTGAAGATAAATCGACCCTATTCCTTGTTATCATGAGAACCGCCCCACCCACCCGTGTGTCCTGCATCTGTCCAACCCGAGCACCCCAGATTTCCCACTTTTTCTCTGGCCCAGTGTGGGTCCCTAAGCCAACCGGCCAATCAAATCTCTTCCATGTGGRTCAGGAGGCTGAGGAAGGAGGACAGCCAGTTCAAGGCCAGCCTCCACAATTGAGCGAGGCACTAAGCGATTTAGCAAGATCCKGACCCTAAATAAAATGCAAAAAAATGGCTGGGGATGTGGCTCAGGGGGTAAGAACCCCTGGGTTCAACCCCCAGTTCAAAAAAAACAAACTCACTCTTTCCTGGAATTTTTATAATGGAATTAAAAGCACTGTGTCCCCCACTTGGGCAGCTGAGAACCACAGAATCTAACCCTCGGCTCCTGTAGGGCAGAGGTTCAACCCCCCCTGCAAAGAGAGAAGCCAAGAACCAGGCAGGAAAAACGTGGGGTGTTTTTTTTTTTAATTTCTTGGTTCCAGTCACGTCTTGGTTAAGTCACACCCATAACATCCCCGAATCTGGATTCTCTGAATTTGCAATGAATTGTGCTTTACTCAGCTTTTTCATTGCTGGGACCAAAAGACACAAGCAAAACAATTTTAGAGGAAGAAAAATTTATTTGGGGCTCATGGTGTCCGAGGTCCAGTCCCTGGTGGCCGACTCCATGGCTCTGGCCCAAGGGGAGGCAGAACAAAATGGTGGCAGGGCCTGGAGGAGGAGAGCAGCTCAGGACAGGGCACCAGGGAGCAGAGAGAGCTCTGCTCCCCAGGGACAGGACAGAGACCCCCAAGGCACAGCCCGGGGACCCCCTCCTCCAGCCACACCCCACCTGCTGCAGTCACCACCCAGGGAGTCCATCCAAGTGGATTAATGCACTTATTAGTCTACACCCAGTGAGTCCATCCAAGTGGATTAATCCACTGATCAGGTTAAGTGTCTCATAACCTGATCATTTCACCTCTGGACATTCTTGCCTGGTCTCATCGAGAGCTTTTGGGTGGCACCTCATATCCAGATCTCAACAAGTCACAGCAAACAAGTGGCCCTCCGATGAATCTTTTCCCCCCCATGGCCCATGGAGTCTGGGTAGATTTCGGTCCCTTGGAGACCCATGATCCTGATGTCCGTAGGGATTTCAGAAAGGGTGGGGGGTTTGAAAGCATCAATACTGTGCTAGAAATGGAATCCTGATGTCGATCTAATGCCATCGATGAGACCCGAGCTCATTCTGCCTTGATGTAGTGGACGCTCGCTGGTCAACCTCTCTGGAGTCCTGCAAGCTGTGTAGACCTTTCCAGCCAGAGCCACTGACCTTGGAGGATCTTGCAGGCATGGGAAACAGGACTCCCATGTGGCACATTTCCAACACGCAGTCAGGACAGCAGGGATCCGGACCCAGCTGGTTCACGTGCCTAGACCTGTACATTCAGAACGTCCACTGATCACATCACCCGTCGGGATCTCGTGACGCCTTCAGGGTACGGCTCAGCCAGGTGGACACCCCATCCACTTCTCTGGAAAACACTTTTCCCCTAAATGACCACGGAGCCCCRTCCCCAGCCCTATTTTGCATTTTATTKAGACACAGGGTCTCCCTGAGCTGCTTACGGCCTCGCTTTGGTGGAGGCTGGCTTTGAACTCGCGATCCTCCTGCCTCAGCCTCCCAAACTGTGGGATGACTGGTGTGAACCACCGCGCTAGGTATATTCCCTTTTTCCTTTTAACTGTGATTCTAAACAAAGCCACGAGTCCTCAATTAAATGAGGAAGTCCCCATAGATGGCATGTCTGCCTTCATAGACCTCTTGATTGACAGTCATGGTGAGTTCCAATGTCACCCCTCCTTTATGAACTCACAAGGGACTTATTCTTCTCAGACTTTYGGAGCTTGGCGAATCAAACGTCCAAGCCGTCCTCTGCATTCCTGTCCCCGTGGGGGTCACTCTTCTGTCCCCCACACCCTGAGCGGATCCTGGCTAAATCCCTTCTCTTGTTCACAGCGGTGTTCACACGCACCCCTCTGTACCCCGTGGGGCTGACGGACTGTGACCTTCTCCGCACAACTATCTGAAGGTTAAATATGCAACTCAAAGCTAATTAGCCCGTCTGCCCCTTGGCGCCCAAAGAGAAATGAATCATATGCAAAAACATGAATAACGTCTCAACGTCCAGAAGGTAGGAATTCGTTAAAATTGGTGATTTCAAGAATCGAGCCTCAGTTGAGTAGGTCCTGGTTTTTACCAGTGAACACCCCCTTCCGCCAGACCCRCTTTAGTTTAAAGGGAAGTGGGTTCAATCATTCTGTTTTGGAAGAAAAAAACGGAGTACATGGGTTAGGAGAGTCTTAATCCAGTAAGTGGATTAATCCACTGATGTGGATTAACTCAAATGCACAAGTCGCGTAGGGCAGGAGGAGGTGGGCCACTGATCTGTGCTTTTGGGGTACATGTTTTGCCTGTGGTGAGAAGACAAAGACCTCTCTGTCTCCTGCTGGCCACGTCCTGAGCATCTTTTCCCTTCCGCCATGACGCTCTGCCTCACCTTGGACCCAGAGCCATGCAGYCCGCCATCTTTGAACTGAGACCTCTGAAACTCTGAGCCTCTAAAAGAACTTTTCTCCTCTAAAAAGGGTGCTTTTCAGGTCTTTTGCTCACAGGAGCAAGAAAAGTTGATTGGGGATTGATTGATTGATTGATTGATCGACAGAACTGTGTGGTTTTTTGGGGGGATGGGTGTGTGTGTGTGAGTAAATATTCTGGCTTTGGACTCTCTCCAGCCAAAGTCCACGATTCACATAGTTTGGGGAAACCCATTCATCTTCTCGGGCCCTTATAAGATTTCCAATTCCCGGGTCGGGACCGTACGCGCACATGGCCCCGCGCAGTGGAGAGYGCCCAGCGATGTCACCGTGACAACAAGGCGGAGAAGCCACAGAGCACTCACAGCAGGAGGGACGGTCCTCTCGATTGTCCCTGTGGGTCGTTCTTGGTGACACCCGGGACCCACAACCTGGCTTTCCTGTAGCCTGGGGACACTCGCTTCCTAGCATCGCGATGGGGGAAGAACCGCAGCACTCAAGCAGTGGACGTCGGGGACCAGCGAGGGACAGTGTCCAGGGACGTGGACGCTAGACCTCCCGCCAGATATTTCCCAGAGACAGTGGGGAAAAYGGACCCTCCATGGGAGAACCCAAGGACGAGATGGAGACCAACGCGTCACGGGCCCCATGAGTTAACTCCTGCGGCTCCAAAAAGATCTCCATCGATTTTACCTTCTCCTTCCAAGAAATGGCGCACGGAAAAAAATGAATAAGTCACCGGGGAACGCGGTTCCGGAGAAAATGTGAATTTCAAACACAAGGACGATAATGTCCTTAACGCTACAATAGATTCACCCCTTCCCCGATGACTCAGGGTTAGCACAGAACATTCTAGGCTCATGCTAATTAGCACCGGTCATGAAAGCCTGTAAACCATTCTTGGAAACCAACACATGAAAATAATCACAGTCATTAATGACCGTTTGGCTGGTCCATTAGCGACTCGGTGAATGTGCATGAGACCTGGGATACATTGCTATAATAACTACGCCCTGCATCGGAAACGTAGTGAAGCAGAAAGGTTGTTGGAGGAAAATCCGCATGGAGAGGCCATAAGAGAAGCACTTACCGTCTTCTGTGGGCACGTAGATGTTCAAGTAGAGGCAGTCCTCGTTTTGGTCTTGGACGTACGTCATCAAAGTATCCAGATTGGCTGTAAACCATATYGGGAGCATGTCGTGCAAGAGAGACCTCTCGTCCAGGTGTTGAGGGCACACGGCGGCGAACTGGGTGGCATTCCGGACACCGGTCCAGGAGGAAGGGGGTTCCGGGGGCTGGAACCTCCTCTCCCCCGTGGGAGGCGAGGCATAGGGGACCCCCAAGTATTGCTCCACGGGACCCAAAATCTCATTGGGCAACGGTGTTCTTAGCCCCCGGATTTTGCCGTAGTTGGTGTTGACGAGGGGGTACTGGGCTTGGCTGTCGATGAGCGTGAACTTGATGGCCAGGGCGGTGATCCACAGCAGGACGTTGGAGTTGAGCATGACGCAGACCGGGGTGAAGAACAAAGGGACCCATAACAATCCCTTGGGCCTCGACATGGCTCACGGGCACATCCGCAGGGTGTCCAAGGGACAGGTGTCCAGGGGGAGAGAGTGACGGCGGGACGCCAGTTGGGGAGAGAGGGATGGGCAGCGGGGAGTCAAGGACCCAGGAGAGGCCACACCAGGAGAGGCCACCTCACTCACGGCTCTTGGAGAAACCCAAGGTTAGGAGAAAACATGGCGGACGTGTTGGGGGCCCATCGCCACGGGGCAAGGATCCTTTAATCCTGCAGCCCGATTTCCACAGGGGGGGACGCTGTCCAGAGAAATGGTGACCATCCAACAAGAATTCCTTACGAAGACTCCAAAGCCACCTAAAAAAGAAAGTAGAGAAGRTTAAAGAAAGAAGGCTGTGGGCCTCTACCCTTGGTTGGCTCCGCCAGGCAACCCACGGACCATCGGGCGCCATGACGTGTGGCTATTGATGAGATGTCACAAAAAGGTACATCCCCTCATGGGGACCTGAATGCTCCTTGGGGTACTCAGTGGCAGACCCACATGGACATCCCGTCTCACCTCCCCGGATCGGAGCTCCTTTGGACRTCGCTAAACAAGATGGCGCATCCCAAGAGCATGCCAAGGTCTGGTGGCTGGGAGACGCCATTGGTCAGAGGGTTGACCCCTGCATCCCGATTTCTGGGGACGTCAATGTGTGGTCAGAGGGTTTAACTCTTCATACTGCACACGCTGCAAAGAATGGAGGGTGGATTTGGATGACGTTCATGGTGAGCTCTGAAGAAGCCATGAAAAAACATGGCGGACATGTTGGGCGCCCATCGCACCCGCTTCCGTCGTCTGGACCTGGATAATTTGATGACCTCATTCTTAAGACCGTTGATGAGGTTGTGCACCAGTAAATTGTACAGTAAATGAAAATGGTGTCTTACAGATGGAAAACGGCTCATCAATTTTTGCACGAAGTACCTTCATGTATGTGTGGGTACTCACAGATATATATTTGGGGGGTTCTAGAAATGGAAATCCGAGGCACTTTTCCACTGAGTTACCTCCCCAATTCCTTTTGAGATGAGATCTCACAAAGTAGTGGAGGCTGACCTCCAATTTGCGATCCTCCCGCCTTGGCCTCCCGGGTGACTGGGATGATTGGCGTGAGCCACCACGCCCAACTAAATGGCATTCTTTGAGAACTTCACCCTGGGGATAGGGTGACTGCATGGGTGTCCGCCATCCGAGACCTGGTTAATTGGGGTTGAATTSGGTGGGTGGATTTGTCGCAGGACTTTCAAGCTCACTCGAAGAAGAATTCTGCACCCTCTACTTTAGTTCTGCCAGTCAACGTGGATGAGGATACCAGAGGGTACATGTTGCTCAGGTTGGGTCCTAGCTACACTCCACCGTTGAACCAGAATGGCCAAGTCATCCCGGGGGCTCGGGAGGCTGAGGCAGGAGGATCGCGAGGTCAAAGCCAGCCTCTGCCAAAGCGAGGCCCTCGGCAACTCAGGGAGACCCTGTCTCTGAATAAAATGCAAAATAGGGCTGGGGACGGGGCTCAGGGGTCGAGTGCCCCTGAGTTCAATCCCTGGTACTCCCTCTAAAAAAAAAGTGCATGCAACAAGGTGAATTCCAAGGAGTMAAGAAATTTTGTGAAAACAGCAAAAACGGTCAACTTCACTGAATAAATACGAAGGTTGCACAAAACCGTGGTTTATCTCAGGACGGTATTTTGAGTTGATTTATGACTCAGATGGGGTTCACCTGTTACCTGGCTGAAGAGTCTCTTCCTTCTGCAGGAACACACACGTGTGCATGCACACACACACACGCACACACACACACACACACACACGCACACACACACCATGCATCCCTGCCCAAGATGCCCGATTTGAACAGGGACTACCTGTTCATATTTGCACCTTGATTTCATCTGCTACGTGAGCAAGGTGACAATCGATTCTGTCATAAACCTCATTGTCCCCTCCCAACTCAGATCTAACCATTCTAAAGCACAGGTCTGATGGATCTGAAGTCCTGCTATCATCACTCCACTTCCATTCACAAACGTTCCTCTCTCCTGATGCCACTACCTACCCATGGCGCCATGTCTTACTCTCTTCAGGGTATACTAATATTCCAACTGAGAGGGGTGCACACTTTCTCTTCTTTCTATGCAACTATCTCATAAGGGATTCACATGCTGCTCGATAAGGACACCAGGAAGAATCGGTGTCCCTACGGACGTATCCATTGCTGACCACAGGGCTTTCATCGTTGTACATGAACGGCAAGCGCAGGGATATAAGTGCCCGATTTTCGGTGTCTCCAATAATTTCCGAACACAAGTTTAGCATCTAGGGCAAGGGAACTGCAAACATCTCCATGCTCGGTGTTGACCTCTCCTGCCGGACTCAGTCTTACATCCCGACCGTCGGACCGCCCGGGTTCTMAGAAGACTGTCCCTTAGAAATCTTCTGAGGCTCGTACAAATCCTATTCTACAGCCCCCTCCCCAAATGGTTGCATGCTCTGAGCTCCCGTTTCAATAATCAGCAATTTTTCAGTCACTCAACCTGCACTCAACGCCACGTGCCCTGGGATTCCACGTTCACAAAGACCCCGACCCTCCAGGTGGCCTCAATGTGGAATAAGAGGGCCACGTGTCAATCATTGCCGATTGGTGAAATGAAGGTGCTGTCACAAATTGACAAATAGAGTAAGAAATGAACAGGAGCTAATAACAAATGGAAAAACTGTACTAATWGATTATAATGAAAGTTGCATGAATGTAGCCAGACAGGGTGGCGCACACMTGAAATCCCAGTGGCTCCGGAGGCTGAGGCAGGAGGATCATGAGTTGAAAGCCAGCCTCAGCCATAGGGAGGCCCTGAGCAGCTCAGGGAGATCCTGTCTCTAAATAAAATACAAAATAGGGCTGGGGATGGGGCTCAGGGGTCCAGTGCCTCTGATTCAATCCCTGGTACACTTCCCCAAAAAAAGAGTTATGTGAATTTGTTCTCTTCATCTCTCACAATAGCTTCCAATACTCTATTAAACCTTCTGTTCATGATGATGTGAGATGAAACTCTGCCTAAATGACGAGGTGAAGTGTGCCGAGAGCACCAGGCATTGTGCATGAGGGTCGTTAATAAGTAAGAAAAGGTTACCTGAACACAAGAAGAGCGGTACAGAACCCGTCCAGCTGATATCCAAGAAAACGACTAAGCGAGTCACGGGAGGGTAGCATATAACTTGTGGATACACTGGACGAATGGATTCCTCATGTCCTGGGCCCAGGGGAGCAGGAYGGTACATCGTATTAGCAGGCTACTCCGACTAATTAGCCAGGTGACCTCTGCCACGTCCCTGGGTGCCTTGGGCCTTGTCTCCCTCAAGTGCAAAGTGACAACCTGGACCTTGGACCAAGAGACCTCTGAAGCCGCTTTAGGTACAGAGACGCCCCAGTCCCAAAGACTGTCCTGTCCCAAGGCTGTTGATGAAATAGAGGTGCCCGGGGACAGAGGGTCCTGCACTCAGGTACAAGGCATCACCTCGGGGACAGGATCCGCGCTCAAGCAATGACAAGCTGGTCACCCCCAAAGCATCGGCGTACSTTCTGCCCCACCGCCATGGGCACGGGACAGGAGAGTCCCAAGACCCCGTAACCTGCCCTGGCAGGACACCGACGGCCCCCGTGGTCCTCAGCTTGAATCCACACACGGCGCCCAGGGAAATCTCACGGGTTTGTCCCCAGTTCCCAATCGCACCCCTCACGGAACCCTGCCCTTCTGCTCACACAGCTCCGTGGACCCAGTGCGCGAGGGTTTGCAAGTGAATTCATCACATAGGCGCACGCTCGTTCCATAGAGAAAGGGAACGTGGATACGTTACTGTGTTGCACACCCAAACGAACATCCAGATACATAGCTATAGAAAGCGCCTGCTGCATTATACACTATTCTATGTGCACATTATATATCCTATATCATCACTTATCATACATCTGTGCATATTATATAGTCTTATATATAGGAGCCCCAAAGTGTAGTATCACAGTGCTTAGGATGATCTGTGTGCGCGTGTGTGAATATATGTCTGTACACCCACATACGTAGGCACACATATATATGTATATTAAATACGATACACAGCCATGTATTATATATAGTGCACATACATGTACACAATACACCTATAGTGTTTATACACATGTGTGTGCATACAGGTACATATACTCATACATAGGTAGCATGTATACATGTATACAAGTAATTGATTCACATTAGTTCATATAAACATATATACAGTGGAACTTAGTATATCTACATATGCAAATGCAAATCACATACAGCAAGTTTTGATATATTACACATGTGTGTGTATACCTAAAGTGCCAATATAGGTGAATATAAAAGCTAATCCCACATACTGTACTATACTATGTTAGGTGTACATCATCACATAAAGAAGCCCAAGAGCTTATTATCATATTGGTTAATGTGTTTGCACATATAGGCGTATGTGTGCACACACATATGTACAAATGCATGCATACATGTATATGTGTACATGTGCCTGAGTATATATGCACATAGATACACGCAGAGTCACTGCATATTTTTATATATTCGTACCATATATACACACATACATACATACACACATACACACACGTACACATACAACCACACGCATACACACATACACACCACATGCATACACACATACACACCACATGCATACACACACACATACACACCGCA